AGGAATTTATAGTGGTTCAACCCATCTGATAAAATATATACTAACAAATTATTAACAATATATTAATAATTACTATTTGCTAGCAAAATAAACTTTATTAAGATTACTATGATTTTCTTATTATGTATGCACGCTATTAAAATATTTTTTATAATTATTATGACCAACTAAATTTGGTAATTTTAAGATAGTTTTTTCCTAGTATTTTTCACTAGGAATTCATTATGATTACACGAAATGTCCAATAGAAGTCACAAACGATTTTCGCTATCGAGTGAATAAAATATAAACTTGTAACTCACATCGAGTAATTGAATCTCAAACGATGCACTTGTATACATATAAAAAAAGAGGGAAAATAAATATACATTTAAATAAATTTGAATAAATTTTATTCATTTAAAATTAACGTGAAACTTAAAATATTTCAAAAATAAGTACTTGGAGGTAAACTAGCTGATAATACGCGTCAAAGTATGAAAACCCAATGAATTATATGAGTAGTTAATTATTTTTATGAACTAAATTGAGCTTAAATTATTGTGTAATTGATTGCAGACACTACAAACACAATCATTTTATCGTTCCACACGCAAAAAGTTTTATTTTACGACGTTACGCGGCATCAAATGCTTGGTAGTGGTTCAGTGATTAAAACGTTACACGTTGATATAAAAAAAAAATAAAAAAATACTACTATTAAAGATCGAGAAAATTTACTTAATTAATTAATAGTTCACACTTTGAAAACGCTTCTACTCGTATATATTACAATCATGCAAATTATTGTTAAAACAATTTGGTACTTCCTTAGATCATAGATCACTTTATACTTATCATCACCATACATTAACTTCATATCGAATAAGATATTATCTATAATAAAATATAAAATAAATAATAAGTTATAACTAGGGGCAGGATTTTAATACCCTAAAATGTCTCAAAAAATGTATTATAAAAATGCATTTAAATTATATTTTTTATAGCTTAAAAATTGGAGAAAAAATTTAAAATTATACCACAGTAATGTTTTTATTTATTTTTTTTTATAGTATTTTACATTGTCATTAGTTTAGTTCTGTAATACATCTGTTTTTTTTTCATTCGTTTTAAATCATAATTTAAAATAAAATAAATTGCTAATACTTTAAAATATTTTTGCTACCTAGTCATTATTACTAACCTGAACAAAATAGCTATTACATTGAATATATATGTTGTCTTATATTTTGAAACAAAAATGATTGTCGTTAGTTGGATAGTATCCTTTCTCTGTAATTTTCGTTAATTTTTATGAACAAATATTTAAAAATGCTTTAAAAACAAAAAAAATGCACTAAAATGGTATAAAAATGCCCTAGAAATACATTTAAGGTTAACTTTGTCAAAAAATACAATTTTTTTTCGTTTTGCAAAAGTTTTTCGAATTCAATAAAATTAAAAATCTTCAAAAAATATGAAAAACACGGGTCACAAAATCACATAAACGTCAATTGACATTTAATAACTAACAAGTTATATGGGTAATAGTTCCATTGGTCATTGTCTCGTTTCTCATTATTGATTACAATTATGATAGTTAATATTAATAATTTTTGTTTTATTAAATGGAAAAATACCTAATATCTATTTATAGATTTTTTGTAGTTCAAGCGAACACGGGTCTGTTGATTATAAATATGATAATATAATATAATATTTGCCGCCAATAATCACTATCATGACAGGTACCTCCACAAAACGATAGTTATTATTACGAACTACAACTTATCTGTTCGTGTTTATCTTAAAAGTTATACAATCCTCGGGTTAAAGGCCACAACATTGTATAATATTAATTATAATGAATATGATAAATACGATAACAAATAAAAAATGGTTTAGATTTCAAAATACGTTTATAATATTAATACTATTTTATTTGAAGTTTTATAAAATTTTATTTGAATCGCATAAAAAATGTAAGCGTTGAAATTTCAATGGAGGGTTACGGACCCGAAATCCCCCTCGCCTCTGTCTAATATATACGTCGTACTTAGTAATTGTATAACCCGTGTAAATTTAAAATTTAAAAACCTAATTCATTTAAATTAATGTGACGTGTTATAAAAATAAATATTTTTTTTTTCCGAATAATGAACTATTTACCGATTCGACAATCAATTTTATCCAATGTATATCCATTTTTTCCGTGTGTAAAATTAGGAAGTCAACAAAATATAATTTTTGATTGTGCTACAATAGCTTGAAAAAATGTTGAATGATGTTTTGTTTAAATACGTATCGAAATTATGACACTGTAAACCTGCAACGTTAAACGTTGAAAAACTATCCTGCAGTATATCTATTGATTTTGTAAACCATTATCGTAAAAAATATAGCAACAAAAGTACGCACAGTGTTGGTACGATTACGATATTTAGTCATTTCGAATAGTTCAGTAAAACCAAAGTTGTAAATAAATAACTATTTAGTGACTTTTATTTGAATAATACAGTAGAAAAAATTAAAAAAAAAAAATAAATATTTTACCAGAGTAGTGTAGTAAGTGAAAGCTTAGTTTAGCTTAGTGACTATCAAGTCAAATACATTTAAGCAGAACTTGAAATGTTCATTATTATTAACATGCACCAGCTATATAGTATATAAATACATACATAGATAAATAAATATACATAAATGTATGAGTGGTTGTTTGTTCAACAATTTAAAGTATTGGATTTGAAGAACAGGCGCTTTGTATATGTATTACGTGTGATTGTAAAACTTTTTAATAAAACATTTAGAATGCATATTTCGCCAAAATAGTCGTCGCATGTTATACAAAAAATTATTTATAATAACAAATCCTTTCATCATATATCATTTACTTTCATAATACAAACGCATATCTAGTATTTGAAAGTCATATTTAATACACGCCTAAAACGATACGAGCCGATGGGGATTTCGTTTATTTATTTTCCTTACCGTCTACTTAATTCGAATTAGACAATGGTTTCCAATAATATCGGAAACATTTTAATTTATTACCACGTCACATCATTTTGATATATAAATATAATGAATACTAATATCGATACTTTTCGATTAGTTATTTCAGACTATCGCAGTAACACAAAATATAAAAGATTTTTTCTTTTATCTACCCATTCACAACGAAAGCAAATCATATATAACAGAATAATAAATGTAATTTTTACACCTTGGATGATATTTCTACATAATAGAATGTTATTGAGATCGAAACTGTAAATAATAAAATCGAAAATTACCCTGTACTCACAAGTAATCTTCGACTATACCTATGTCTATACCTATATCTATACCTATGGTGACATGTGGGCATGCGTGAGATTTTGTCAAAATAAGAATATACAAGACCGCGTGAAAATTTTAAGAAATACAACATACAGACCGTGATGATCTATCTGTATAATAGATTAGACAAATGTCTGGCCTATGCATGGATCCTTGTATCCATGTACACACGCAAGGGTGCAACCAAATAATAATAATAAAAAAAGTAAAAAAATATAATTAAATAATAAAAATTTGAAAAGTTATAAGCAGCTTAAGTATTGGATCATATATGGGTCGATTTAAAATTCCGTTAAAAATTAATATATTTGTAAGCTATATCCTCCTTAGCTACGCTCTGGTACTCACATGTGCAAGACGTTAACGATTGGACTGGTCGGGATATGCGAATATAGGGTCACAATGCACCCCGGATTTTCTGGTATACAACAAGTTTCGTGACTTGAGTCTTGGTGTTCGAATAGGGCCTGTACCGAATTTGTTCCCGTTTGGAAAAGGTATTTGATTAAGTTGATCCGAATCGATTCCCATTTGATTATGCATATTTTCCTTCTCAATTTTACAGACATAAGACTTTTTCTCGTAACCATTCTACATTCGATTTCACGTAAGCTTTTCATTTTCGTTTTGTAGATATCCACCACTGTATGTTATCCTCCGAAACGTTCTTTTGGAATCCGAACTTGTAGCTGTCAATAATTAACAACTTCAACTTCCCTTTCAACTGAACATAAACTCAAAAATAACGAAAAATTATAAAAAAAATATTAATTAAAATACAATCTATGTTTTTGAGAAAATAAATTTATATAAATGACGATGTATTATTCAAGACTGTACAGTGCTCACTAACATTGTTGTCAGCAACGTAAGTCTCAATATCTCAATTGTTATCTTAATCAATCGCGGTATAAGCGATACTTTGCTAAACCTCTAATATAACAATCTATTGTCATTTTGTTGCATTTATACTATGGAGTGAAGAAACATTTATATTTTATAATATCTAATTTGTATTTTATATCAAATATGTTTGTTCAACCTACCATTTATTAAAGATTAAAAATTGAAATTATTTGACCGGAAAACAAACGGAAACCAATTCGTATCAACTTAATAAAATACCGCTTTCAATCGCGAATCAATTCGACCAAATTAGGTTTCCAAATTAGGCATCGAACCGTATAGTAGAGAAGATATCTAATTCGACGGTCTGTGAATATTAGTTGTTATTAGTACACTGTTACCTGCGAAAACGGTTATTAAAATATTGATTTTACACTCACAACTGTACAATTTTTATTTTCCCTACCCAGAACATACGTGTAAAAAAATAGACCAAAACATGATGTCAGTATGTGTTGATCTTGTGATTTCATACTCTGGCAACCATATATTAATGCGATGTTTGAACAGTACAAAAATTAATAAGAAACGACCACTTAGAGGACTAAGGACTAGATGGAAAGGGTCCTGTAGAAAAAGATGTGTGAGTGATAATTAATTTGTGTAATAAATCATAATTTATTATAGCAGAAAAAACGTAAATTTGTATGTTGTTTATTTCTTTACATTTAATGGATCTATTAGAACGTATTAATAATTTAAAACAAATTCAATTCTTATTTAAGTTATCAATTTATTTAGTTAATAAAAATTTAGAAATAAAAAAAAATCTAATGAATAAATTGTTCAAACTGTTCTTCGCCGTAAACAAAACATGCTTCAACGCGCCGCATAAATTCTTTATTTGTTGCAGCAGTAATTTGTTCATCAGTCAGTTGATTGCATGTTGCTGTTATCTTATCTTTTAAATTTTGAAGATTTATAGAAGGATCGGCATACACTATTGTTTTCAAGTGTCCCCATAAAAAAAAATCTAATGGCGTAAGGTCAGGTGATCGTGGTGGCCACTCAATGGGTCCGTAAATTCCTAGCCATCGATTTTGAAATTGTGCATTTAAATAGTCGCGAACTTTGTGAACATTGTGAGCTGAAGCACCATCGTGTTGAAAAATAATATTACCTCTTAGAGCTAAAGGAATATCATCAAGCATCATTGGTAATTCATTTAGTAAAAAATTATAATATCGTCTACCATTGAGTGTTCCATCATAAAAAAATGGACCAAGCAATTTACCACCAATTAAACCACACCAAACGTTTGTTCCCCAAACAGTTTGATTGTTGGTTTCAAATGTCCGATGTGGATTTTGATCGTCCCAGTAACGGTTATTCTGCTTATTAATTACACCATTATTAGTAAACTTGGATTAATCTGTCCATAATATTGAGTTTAAAATTAATGGATTTTCGTCTAAACTGGTCATCAACCACGTAACAAAAGCTAGTCTACGAGGTGCATCACCCTGACGCAAATGCTGAACTAAATCTGGTCGATATGGATGCATTTTATATTTTTTCAATATCTTACAAACTGTGGTATGAGATATTCCAAGCTCTCTACCAACGTGCCGTGTTGAACTTCTGGGATTTGCTCGAACATAGGCTAATAGGTTTTCCTCGACCTCTTCACCTAAAGCATCACCTCGTCTTTGTTTTAAATTATTTACCCTTTTAGAAAATGATCCATAGGTTCTTAGATTCCTTTCTAAGTTATAAAAAAAACTATGGACAGGATGTTCTTTATCTGAAGTAAATAAAAATAATGAAACTAACTTAGAAGACTATCTAAAGAAAAATAAAGACAATTATACCTGGGTAACGTTGTGCATATGTTTGTGCCGCAAGACGTACACTCCCAATAAATAAACAACTTATCAACTTTATCTGAATGAGGCATATTTGTCACGGAGTATCGCACGGTTTGAACGATGAAAAATATCGAAATGTTCAGTTATTTCATTTATCTCATCGTATTTAATTTTATATCAAATTGTCATACAGATAAAAGTTTACAATAAGGTAAACCTAATGTTTAATCTTATTAATGACCGAAAAATACGATAAGTATTAGATTATCAGAGGTAATTACCTAATTAATTTGAACAATTTATACATACATTTATAACTTAACGTTCTAATAGAAAATTATTCAGTAATTGCACTTAAAATAACGTATGAATATCACCGTAATAAATAGTTATGAAAATGTCAATCTTTAACAATCCCATAATAATTATTTTCAGAGTTACAATCAAAAAGCTGAAAATCAAGCGCATTTTTTTTAAATTTTTTTTTTTTTTTTTAATTGCTGTAACTTGATCAATTTTGGACTTAGAAAGTTGATTCAACTAACAAAATTCATTAAAAAAATAGGCAAAAAATAATTAGTGGTTAAAGCAGGAGATTGCCATTTAAAAAAAAAAGTTGGCATGCGCATGCGCGTGACTAGTTAAGTACAAAAAATTCAAAGACCATAAAAATGTGTATTTTTATGTCATAACAACTGCTAAAAAAACAGAACTCAAATAGCAGGTTTCTACGCAAAGATATTGAGTGTTCTCGATTACCGTTTACACACTGTATAGAATTGCAGCAGCAGACAGGAATCTGGACAGAGAAAAATGGAGAGGCTTACAAGTGGCAGCACAGATCCTTAATGGACCGTTAAGCTGTTAAAAAGAAAAAGTAAGTGTTCGATAATAGTTTGGAGACAACCTACGCACTACAAATGTATGTTATTTCAAATACAAAATATATATACCGTTAAACACACACAATTCTGTACTCTTTAGTTAATGTTCAACGACATTTCCCATTGATATTTATTTTCCACATTTTTCGAAACACACTCATTACAATAAATGTTTGCGTGATTTATTCATAAACCATATTAATTTTATTTAAATTTTTATATATAACAGGTGCCTATCACTTTAGGTTATGTATATGTTACGGGTTATGTCAACATTTGGCTAATTTCGATATAGGTCGGCTAATATGTAATTTTTGAACAATTCAAATATAAATTGAAAAAAAAAAATTAAATATAGTAAGAATATGTATAATGTGTTTATAATTAGTAATAATTCATTATAGATTACTTTTAATATGTATATTAGCATAACACACCTAACGAAGATATTTCTTGCCATCGTTCAATTCATTTAGTATATTTAAATCATTTTCATTAAATAAATTAAATAAATTATATTTTCGTTTTTTTAGAGAACAATTTTTCAAATAATCGATAAAATACTGTTTATATTTCTGTTTTAATGAAATAAAAATGTAAAACAATTTTGTACTCACAAATATCACATGTGAAAACAAACATTGTAATCGTATAGAATATAAGGTAATAACATGTAACAAAAAAAAAAAAAATCGTCTGACATTGTACTAGAGTACAAGACCTTTTTATTTTTCACTTAAACGCTAAGATAAATTATAAGTTAGAAAAGGATTATTGATTATACTCTGGCGGCCCTACGTTTTATTATCGTGACACTATAGCAGACTTGTAAAAAATAATTTTTAAAATTATTAAAATACAGATATCTATTTTCAAAAGTATTTAAAATACGTATTTGAATACTTCAAAAAAGTATTCATGGATACTTTAAATTACTTATACAATTTTAATGACATAGTTTACCATTTAAACATAAAAAAAAAAAAAAATTAAAAGAATTTTTAATAATATATTCATATGCGTGGTTTCAACGAATAAAACAATTCGAAGATCCCATAGGCTATAATAAATTTAATTAAAATTTAATTGAAAAATAGAAATAAAACGATTCTCCAAATTAGTTATGAAATTTTTGGTTGATATGAGTAATAATGTAGTATATTACAGCCATAAATGTGTATAAGTTTACCAGTTACAGTAAAATTTCTGTAAAAATAACTTCTACTTTATGAAATTTTCTGTTCAACAAATTATTTTTAAGAACCCTGATTCTTATTGTTATTCAATATATACTTTTATTTAACGAATTTCTCTATATGACGATATATTTGTTTGTAAGTTTCAATGTAATTGTTAAAATTATTTATTATTTTAATGAAGATAATTGAAATACAATTTGTAAAAACAGTAATTGAAAAAATTATTTCATTTTAAATACAGATACTTTGGAAAATTATTTAAAATACTACGTCTAAGTATTTATTTTTCAAAACTATTTAAATTACGTATTTGATACGTAATTTATTCAAATAAACTGCAACAAGACTGCACTATAGTGTACAGAATGCTAACAAAAACTGTTATTTAATATTTTTAATACTATCCGGATAGATTTGACATGTCGTATTCAAATACAAAAATCCATCTATTAGCTAAATTTTAACATTACCCTTAATATATATAATATGCACAAAAAAAAAAAAAACTAAAATTATGGTTAAATTTCAATACATTAAGTAAACACTATATGATTTAAATCGTTGTTTCTCATAATTTTTATTACAGCAACACACAGTTAAAATATTTTATACTTGGCAACATACTGTAAAACAATTATAATTGTATTTAAATAACTCGTGACGCACTAAAACTTATCCTGCGACACAAAGATTGAGAAAACACTGATTTAAATCATACATCTAGTAAATATCTAATACACTGAAATTTAATTATCATTTTGGTTTTTTTTTTTTTTTGTGCATGTTATATATGTTACGGGTTATATTAACATTTGGTTTATAGTAATTTTTCGTGTATAAACATGAAATATCAGCTCTATCCAGATAATGTGAAAAATATTAAATAAGAGTTAATGAAAACAAGATATTTTGGAAACTAGGCTATCGTTCTTATCATGTCGTATGATACCTTTCTAAATTAAAATAGTACTGTTCTGGGGAGATATTATTTTAGGTTCAACACTACTATTACCTCGAATTTCCAAAAAAAAAACAATATAAACTATGCGTACCGATCACATAAGAACCAAAAATAACAGCAAATTCTAAGATCCTTTCATCGATTTTAAGCAATGTACAGATTGCAATACGAATTAGTTTCCCGTTTGTTCGTATGGTTTAATTTATCTACGGTTCTTAGCAATAATAATTATTATTATAATTAATACTTATTGTTAGCATATATGTTAAACTGGAACGTTATGCACATCAACCAACGACTTCACGATTGTATAGTAATGACGTTACCTGCGAATTTCTGTACCGTGGAATATTTAATATACGCTAAAATTTGATTTAATTATAAATAGATATAATCTCATACGCATTATGTAGTATTATATTGTGTTCGAAAGAAAAACCAGATCATCAAATCGCAGTATAATATACATATATGTATTATATGCACTATATATGGAACGGACGTGTGCATTTTCATTTATTGTGTCGTACATCGTTTTCGAACTACACATTTACGGTTTATTTATAAGTTCTTTACATCATCATTAATTCTGTATGTGTGTTCCTACAGAGGCTATGATTCATTTGTATATAGATTGTCATTTTTTTCCTCGTACTTGGAAAGCGTTCCTTGCGTATCATCAAGAATCCTTTGAATCGGTTTGTTCTCCTTAACGAGCCTCCATATTATCCTTTAATTTTATAAATTATATGCATTATCCACCGTGCTCCTTCTTATTTCTATCTACTTAAGATTTCCACAAAGCTTTACGGCAAGGCTTGTGTCCAGTGTAGCAGGATTTTTATCATTCCTTTCAAAAACTTATCTTTTGTTATAGTTGGGTATTAGTGACCGTATGAAAAGGGAGTGTTCCACTACTTATCCGCTCCTTTCAAAGACCACGATTCCCACTTTTCTATATTTACGCTTTTTCCCTGTTTGGTATTTTGAAACTCGCATACTGAAGATAATATAATAATTTTTCTGAACTTTTGATCTGTTTTTGCTGTTCCTATTGTTTTTAATTTGTCTATTCATTAGGTACATTAGATACATTTATTAGATTTAATTTATATTGTTCATGTCAAATAATAAGATTTGCCTTGTAAACTTATTGAAAAGTATTTTTCGTCAGAATTAAATTTTTGAGTGTAATTTTGTGCAGATAATGTTTTGTTTTGTTTACTAGCGATTTTATGTGATCGATAGATTTATCTGTAATTCATATGTAACAAACAATAATAAAATGAATATGGTTTTGAAGAAAAATCAATAGACATAAAAAATAAATACATATTCGTGTATTATTTACTTTGTGACTTCAAGTATTGGCCACGTACAACAAAGAGTGGTCAAGCATACAATCGCGATCCATAGAAGTTAATCGTGAGCAAAAAATTGAACGTCGATATGAGTTAGCTTTTTTTTTTTTTTTTTAGAAATTATTCGTTTCAATACGTTTGTCGTCGCAAAAGATTTTCACTTGCCAACATTAATGTTTACTTCAGATAAAACAGTGTACTGTCAAGTCGTTTTTTTTATAAGCGAATAGGTATAACAATATACCTGTCGATTTCTTTGCTAAAACAACTTTGACTATCTCTGCGGTACGTTGTTTTAACAAATCTTTGGAATAACTTTTCGTCAACCATCGACTTGTTTATGATAATTATATGTACACTCTATTGCGAACCGGTATAAAACGAGTGGATATAACGCTGGGCAGTTTGAATCATAGTATTAATTCTAATACACTTAGTTCAACATATTGTTTATAATTTATTATAAATTTATTTACAAAAATTTTTATGGCGGTGATTTATTTGCATTCGCTCATGCGTCTTGCCAAGTAAAAACTGTGTTGACTAAATGTTTAGCTTTACAATTAATCTTATTTGTCGTCATAGGTATTTGTAATATTACAATACGGCATTTCATTTAGTTTCCATGTTACATCACTTCTTTCAAAGGTTTAATCATTACCAAGTGTAATGTCACAACTTGAA